TGCTCCAGATTAAATGATTACAAGATTACTTTTCCTAATTATGAACACGTTGAATTTCGAAATTTTACTTACAAACAACACACGCCTTTTGTCATCTATGCTGATTTCGAAAGCATACTTCAAAATTTAAACAACAGTAAAATTTCGGAAAAAACTCGTAAATACCAAAAACATGTTCCATTTAGTGCTGGATACTACCTCAAATGTGGGTATGATGATTCCCTATCCTATTTCAAAAGTTATCGAGGTGTAGACTGCATGCAATGGTTTGTTGAACAAGTGTCTCAAATGTCGAAATTTATTTATTCCAAATTTAAACATATTGTACCTCTTATTGCTAGTGAAACTATTAGCTTGTCCAATGTGTCGTCGACACATTGTCATATTTGTGAGAAACCTTTTACAAACAGCGATAAGATTGTTCGTGATCATGATCATTTTACGGGGAAATTCCGTAATTTTGCGCACCAATCCTGCAACCTAAACTATCGTAAGCATTTTATAGTTCCAGTAGTTTTCCATAATCTCTCCGGCTACGATATTCATTTCGTAATCCGAGAGCTTGCTAAGCATGGTCACGTGAGCGTCCTACCCGTGAACAAAGAAAAATACATTTCGATCACCTACAGGGAACCTAATAATGGGCTGCGTTTCAGATTCATTGATTCACTAAGATTTTTGGGTGCCTCTTTGGACGAACTTGTCTCCACGTTGAACAAAAAGGACTTGCTGATATTGAAAAAAGAATTTTCAGACTTGGAGCCGTCAAAATTTCAACTATTAACTCAGAAAGGTGTCTTTTGTTACGATTATATTAATGATTTTTCAGTATTAAACGAAACTTCTCTACCTTCCATCGATAAATTCTACAACAAGTTAAATGATGAACATTTAAGCGATGAAAAGTTCGCTCACGCCCAAAATGTCTGGCATTTATTCAAAATTCAAAATTTAGGTGAATATTCTGATCTCTATTTGAAAACTGACATTTTACTTTTGGCCGATGTTTTTGAAAATTTTCGCAAAAACTGTATAGCTACACACAAACTAGATCCAGCGTGGTATCACAGCATGCCTGGTTATACTTGGGACAGCATGCTCCAATTTACGAAATGTCGTTTAGATATTCTACGGGACATTGATCAGGTAATGTTTGTGGAGCAGGGAATTCGTGGAGGCATTTCCGTATGCGTGAATCGCTATGCTGAGGCCAATAACAAATATATGGATACATATGATGAGTCAAAAGAATCAAGGTATTTGCTCTATCTCGACATGAATAATTTATATGGAAAAGCAATGACCGAGCCCCTACCCTACGGTGGTTTTGAGTGGGTGGACGGAGACGACGACGACCTTAAAAATTTTGATGTTATGACAGTGGAAGACGATTCTCCAGAGGGCTACATCCTGGAAGTTGATTTGGAATATCCTAGACACTTACATGATTTGCATAAAGATTTACCATTCGCGGCAGAACATCGTAAGCCGCCAAATTCAAAGTTACCGAAATTAATGACCACGCTGTACGACAAGAAAAACTATGTTATACATTATCGAAATTTAAAACAGGCACTGAAACATGACCTAGTACTGAAGAAAATTCATAAGATTTTAAAATTTAAGCAGTCAATGTGGCTCAAGCCCTATATCGAGCATAACAATAACTTACGTAAACAGAGTAAGAATGACTTTGACAAAAATCTTTTCAAATTGTTCAATAACGCGGTGTTCGGAAAGACTATGGAAAACATACGAAATCATAGGATTGTGAAATTTGTAAAGACGTGGGAAGGGCGGTATGGTGCAAAAAATTTAATATCTAGTCCAAGATTTCATAGCAGAACCATTTTAGATGATGATTTATTGTTGGTTGAATTGAAAAAAGCCGAACTATTTTTCAACAAACCATTGTATGTAGGCATGTCGATTTTAGATATTTCGAAAATATTCATGTATTCATTTCACTACGACTACATGTTGTCTAAATTAGATTCAGAAAAATGTCACATTCAATATATTATGGACACCGACAGCTTCATATATGACATCGAAACCGATGATGTATATGAAGAAGTCATCAAGGCCGACTTGTCTACATTCGATACATCAGACTACCCTCCAGATAACCCCTATAACATACCGCAGGTCAATAAAAAGGTTTTAGGTTTAATGAAAGATGAACTGAATGGTGATATTATGACTCACCAAGTAGGCCTTAGATCCAAAATGTACAGCTTCAAGACCCTTAAGGGAAAAGTTGTGAAAAAATCGAAAGGCGTTAAAAAAAATATAGTCAAGTATAAAATTGCATTTGACGATTATGTAGATTGTTTGAAAAATTTCAAAGAAAGTACCGTAACGCAGAGAACCATTCGGTCTTTTCAACATAATGTGTTCAGCATTGAACAATCAAAAATTGCACTAAGTCCAGCTGACGATAAACGTTTCTTAGTGCCCAATTCCTTCAATACTCTTCCCTGGGGGCATTATAGTCTTGATGTTGGTGACGAATTAAAAGTATAGTAATGTTGAGCATCAATATGTTTTCTCTCTTTCTCTCTCTCTCTAACGCGTATATGTATGTATTATGTTAATTAATTTATAAGGTCAATATTAATAATTGTTTGTATATTTGGAATAATGTATCATTTTATCTCTCTCTCTCTCTCTCTAACTCGTATATTGTATATATTATGTTAATTAATTAATAAGGTCACTAATAATAATTGTATATTTGAAATAATGTATTAATCTATCTATCTCTAACTCGTACTATGTATATATTATGTTAATCAATCGATAAGGTCACTAATAATTGTATATTTGAAATTATGTATTAATCTATCTCTTTCTAACTCATATTATGTATATATTATATCAATTAATCAATAAGGTTACTAATAATTGTATCTATTTTAATAATCTATAATGTTGTAATAAACAGTTCAATAATTATTGTATTTGATTTTTATTTTTCCGACAGCATCCTTTTATACGACACAAAAAACTTGGCACTATGTACTCTAAATGACGCCACAGACGTGACCCAGGTCGCTATGACGTCATCACAGAACCCGAACCATAATTAAATATGCGTAGCGATTTCGAAACGACTCGGAACAATCCCTTCCACGCAAACTCCATATTACAGGAACCTGTGATTCCCCGAACCATAATTACATATACGTAGCGATTTCGAAACGACTCGGAACAATCCCTTCCACGCACACTCCATATTACAGGAACCTGTAATTCCCCGAACCATTCCTGTCGATCAATTGCAAGAATTCACCGCACTCACGACAGATGGCGCCATGACGTTTGACAAGATGGCGCCGACGACGCATCCACCTTAGTGTCAACGACGGCGCATCCACCACGTGTCAAGAATGAAAGATTGAGGTTATGGTCGGATTTTGATGCTAGGACCCGCTTTGACTATCTACTTATGGAGACACTTTTTTGAGCACAATCCAGTGGCGGACTCGGTTTTTTTCTATATCGCTCCGATTCCGTGATATTGACCAAATTCCGATATTTTCAAATGAAGCACCCTATATATTAATAGCTCATTGGATATCTCTGTTTTTGCTGATTTTAATGATATAAAGTTCGATAGGTTTATCTCTAATAGTTTTTGAGAAAAAAAATTATTTTTCTACGAGCGTGCGGGAAGACTTTCTTCCCGCACCGGTGCGGGAAGAGATTTCTTCCCGCACTCACTACCCTCTGCATAATCGCATTTTATTTAAATTAAACTCTTCGTAACAACAGCTTTAGTATGCTCGTAGAAAAAATATAGTTCCTAACTCTTGGAAACTCTTGGAAAATAGCTATTCTGTTTTTGTCGTAAGCACCAATGTGTTAGAAAAGGATTTTATATGTGTAAGGAAAGTGAGAAAGGTCTCTTTCTAACACATTGTTTCTTATGACTGAAACAGATATAAATTTTTTTCTGGAAAACTGTTAGAGATAAACCTATCGAACTTTATATCATTGAAATCAGCAAAAACAGAGCTATCCAATGAGCTATTAATATAAGGGTTTTTCATTTGAAAATATCGGAATTTGGTCGATATCTCGAAATCGGAGCGATATAGAAAAAAACCGAGTCCGCCACTGGATTGTGCTCAAAAAAGTGTCTCCATAATGTTTTCACAGAAATAAAAAAAATTGATAAATAAAAAACTTATAGCCATTTTTCATAATAGGGGAAAATCGAAAATCGCCCTGTATTAATGGTACCATTGAAGATATCGCGATACGGTTTTTGACAATCGACGTTTCTCGAAAATCGATCCCATGACATCTAAGTCAATTTTCCTCTATCTGGTCTGGAAGTGTGTTTTTCCTGTTAAAACACTCCAAATTGCAGCACCCTGTACTTATAAGTGCTTGTATTCGCTTGAGCCTAATAGCTGTTCGGAATTTTTCGAGCTAAGTTAATTTTTCGAATGAATAATGGATGCACTTAATCTTAACAACACCTATTTCTTTGTTCTAGATTCCTAGGAACATCACAAATGCTATTGAAGAGAAGCGCAAAAAGTTATCAAAATACAATTTGCGATCGGAGGGGCCCCATATTATATTATAAATAATGATTTATTTTTAATTGACAAACATTTATTTCTATTTATAAAATCATATATTTATATTAAAAAATTGTTTATTAATTTATAATAAACTATATAAAATTGATAAATTTTCTATATTTGTAATAAGTTTTGTTTTATTTACACGTAATGAATTTATACCATATCTATATTTATTAGAAATTAATTTGAATTTGGTATTAATAAGGTATATTTAGATAATTTGAATACATTATTTGTTTCTCATAAATAGGCGTTTATTCCGCCATATTTGAATAACCAATTTATTGGACGTTAATCAATATCGTTAACTGTGAATAAACTCTTCTTTCAGTGTAGGTAGAAAAGTCTATGCCAAAAAAGGCCAAATTAAATAGACTGATTACTAATGGACCAAACACTCTTCGCTCTTATGCCAGCTGCCAGCCAGGAGTAATCACCATGACAACCTATAATAATAGATCAAACACGGTTAAATAAGAAACAACCAGTTTTTTAACCTACCGTCAGTAATCACCATATTTCTGTCAATAATATTTAAAGCGAAATTAGTCATAATGACATCTAGCTTACCAATTCTTGTTCCGCGACTTATTGGAGGATTGGAGACTAATGTGAAGGGAAATATACATTTCCTTTCGGACGATGAAGTTGTGTACCCTGTCGGATCAGTAGTAGCTATCCACAACTACCATGAGAAGAAGCAGAAGTTCATTAAATTAAGTGAGAAGGGTAAGAACTTAACTCACGTTGCTGTAAGTCCTGACAAGTAAGTATGTAACATTAATTATTTCCGGTTAATTGCGGTTTCCCGGAGGCATCTAAACATTCCGGTATAGGATTCGGCACTTAGGCATATTTCATTGGTCAGTTTGAATTCGGACCGCCAATTAATGCGGAGTGCCGAAATCGGTACTTGAATGTTGAACGGTGCTGAGGAGCCTCAGGTCAGAATGGTCCATTAGCAACAGCCATGTGGAGTGCCGAATTTAAGGTCAAAATGTTAAACAGTGCTGAGTATCAGGTCCGAATGTTGCCATGCGTTTGGTGCGGTATTTATATTAAATCAGCTGTCCACCTCTTTCGTGTTCCTCTCAGCTACAACTTTGCGGCGGATGCGGTTTATCTCGCCGTTGCTTCATGTGTTCTTGTGCTTAAACATGCAAGATGAGTTTGCCTGGATCATTTAAACACTTTCAATGTCGTGAGTAAATTTACTGAGCCAACATTTTGGAGGAAAACAATATAAAGCAATGGATAGAAGAGTATAGTGATATTACATACACGAATTGGAATGTGAAGTCAGCGAAAAATAATTATAACAGATTCAAATGTAGGTTTGTGTTCAATGTCAATTCAATGACGTAGAATCTTCTTGGATGCGGATAGACTTTGTAAAATACATTTTTTAGATATGTTTTTCTATGCCATCATAGTGCTTATAAAAAAGTGGATCAAGGAAATAATAAGAAAGGAAAATTTGTTGCCTGGCTTCAATTGATATTTTAGTTAAACTAAGCAAGCACCACAGATACCAAAAAAAAAAAAGATAAATATATTAGGGCATTTATTTTCAAAATTTTCTATTCTAATTTGCCAGAGGTTTCAGGTTTTTTATAGTCCCCCCCCTGGGTCCGCCACTGCAAATTATTGTCCAAGATTTTTTGAAATGTATCGTTGAAATAAAATAAATGTGTAACAAAAAGTAAATAAAGTTTGTTTGTTGATTTTGTGCCGCGCTAACGGAGTAACATTCCAACCTGCAGCTGGGCACTGTTTAACATTTTGACCTTTGATTCGGCACTCCACATAGTATATGTATATACCATTCCGACCTGAGACTCAGCACCGTTCAACCAAGGCCGCAATTAGAACCCTCGACGCCCAAGGCAAATCCAAATTTTGGCGCCCCTCCACCGCCTTATCAAAAGTAACAATAGATATATTTTTTGATGCTTTGGCTCTCCACGGGCCTTCCCAGCTCGTGCCCAAAAATGCGCACTGAGTGCATACATAATTGCACTGGACTTCAAATTTACTTGAACTGCGCATGCGAAATAGTTTCGAACCAGTTCAGAATCTTTACCGCGAACGAAGCTATTGTAAAAGTAAAAGCTGTTTACGGAAACTATGATCGGGTTAACCCGACCGCCAGCAGACGTATTTTGCCTTTTTTCAATTGTATTCATTAGGGAAAGATAGAATACATTCAGCTGCTGATCGGGTTAACCCGATTATAGTTTCCGTAAACAGCTAAATAGAAAAGAGTCAAATGCAGCATGCAGAGGGCGCCCATGTCGTCTACAATGCTCTTGCTTAGTTTGGTCGGATCAAAGCTCGACTCGAAACTAATCTCTAGCTAACGAATGTTAGGCGCTACGTCATCAATACTTGAATTTATCACAGACATTGCAATTTGCTGCTGCCTTCTGCATGCGCACTGTGTTTGACATAATTCATATGATTACTATCAATATTCGTATTTTTGATGGTTGACAAAGAGATAGTCCCCAGTACATCGACCCTAAAATTTTGTAACTCATGTACACGCAAAACTTCCTGAGCAGCTTCATAGCACCAAGTCGGACAATTTTGTTCATATCTCCAACCCGGGCGATGGGACATTGTCGCGTTAGCTCTTCGGGAAGTTGTCATTCTGACGTCCCTAAGAACGGTGATATATGTATATGTAATTTTAATTCTAATCGACTGTTTCTATGTTATATTAACGATATCACATTTGTCGGACAAAAATCTCGTGGCATCGAGGGGGTCGGACACCCCCAACAGCAACACGTTAAGGTCGTCGGACCCCTCCAATGCCACGAGATTTTTGTCCGACAAATGTGGCATCGTTAATATAACATAAAAAACAGTCGAATGGAATTAAAATTACATGTACATGTATCACCATTCTCAGGGACGTCAGAATGACAACTTCACGAAGAGCTAGCACAATGTCCCATCGCTCAGGTTGAAGATATGAACAAAATTGTCCGACTTGGTGTTATGAAGCCGCTCAGGAAGTTTGGCGTGTACATCAGTTACAAAATTTTAGGGTCGATGTACTGGGGACTGAGAGATGTAACACAAGCAAAATAAATTTCCGTACTACGACAAATGACGCGTAAATCCGTTGCATTTTTTTGAATTGTAAAATATGGATTGATTAAATTAGGCGCCTTCGGCGCCCCAATACTCCAGCGCCCTAGGCGGGCGCCTAGTTCGCCACCCCCTAGTTGCGGCCCTGCGTTCAACATTCAAGTACGTATTTCGGCACTCCGCATTAATTGGCGGTCCGAATTCAAACGGACCAATGAAATATGCCTAGGTGCCGAATCCCATACCGGAATGTTTAGATGCTTCCCGGAGGGCCCATCCGCTCCTGTATTCGCTAGCCGCGTTGTACTTCACAGAGCTTCAATTTATACTTAGCTAAAAATTCAACTAGTTAATTCGATAATTATCCTAAGTGAGCAGCGTTACTTATAACATAAAGAATAACAGTATTAAGCGATTAATGTGCAAAAGGGGCATAAGACATTACTCATCCCTTCTTAAGATTAAACTTTGATGCCAGGCAGGAAATTTGAATGTATCAATCAGGGTTAGGTAATCTTATCAGGACGGTTCTCCTCTCTTCTGTCCTTCATATTCGCTGCTAATTTCTTATAGGCAGAGTCAGCAAATGAGGATGATAAAGATCATGGCATATAGACCAGAATAATTGGATAGTCTTGGTAACTGATTTCAATAAATCTCAGCCAGCTTTCAGCGTTCTAAAATTTCATTGATAGTTGTAGATGCTTAATTTTATGTCTCGAGGTGAATCTAATAAATTTATAGTTGGCTTATAAGTGGAGTAGTCCTTTTCAGATAATGAAAAAAAAAACGCTTTTTGGGAATATTGATAAACCTAATCGTGGCATTAATTTTTGTTAAAACCATAAGTAGCTAATTGTATATTTTGTTTATATTTTATTTTCAGTCCAAAATCAAATAAAACTCCCGAATGTTATAATAGACTTGAACAGATTTTTTTGTATTTTTCAGAAAACTAATAGCTGTAGTCGAAACAACAGATAAATATCCCATTGTAACCCTCTGGTGTTCGGAAACGTATAAGAAGAAGCGAACTCTGACTTTACCCACTGATAAGGATATTATTGCGAATCGCTATGTGGCTGTTGATTTTACCTACAATTCAAAGAACATCATAGTGGTTACAGGAGAACCAGATTGGAGCTTGTATTGTTTTAAATGCGACAAAGGCCGATTGGAAAGTTTTGCCAGGGCCAATAATTCCAATAATACAGGAACGGTTTCACAGGTGAATAATTATTATCAATAGTTTACTCAAATTAATTTTTATTTATAAGTAGACATAGAACAATACACAATACCTACTTATTATTGTAGCTCGCTTGTAATCCGAACGATGCAAACCAGCTGGCAGTAATCGGAGAAACAGTCCTGCGATGTCTGGGATGTACCGACTACACGTGGAGACAATTTGGCTACAACAAATTTGATCCGGTCACCTACACCAGTTGCTGTTGGCTGTCCCAAGACAGACTCATGGTCGGTAGTAGCAAAGGGAAAATTTTGATATTGGAAGTTGGAGAAGTGAGGGCCATTTTCCATGCCATGGATTTGCCAATAATAAACATGAAACTTAAAGAAGAGTGAGTAAGATAAAATTGAAACAGATGGACAAACAATTTGCAACACGATGTTTGGCTAGGCAAGATATTTTTTATATCTCAGTATTGCATATACCTACCTTATATTTTATTCTGTCATCAAAGCTTGCCAATCCTATAGCATCGTTGGTGAATCATGTTTACCTAAACCAAAAACTGTTTTCTTAATTCTATCAGTACACCGAAGGAAAAAGCGTAAGTTGAAAATAATTTCTCATAGTTTTTGTATCTTTGCATTCACACTCGAGGAAATACAAGTTTTGTGTTTGTTTATGTTGCATATTATCCAGATTGCAGGTGGGTTAGTAGAAATACAATCTAATCCACCTGCAATCTAATGCACGGGCTAAGTAAATCACCCTGTATATGGAAATGGAAGTAAGCCACGCCCCCGACGCCATTTTGATGCAAAAAGTTGCATATGAATCATTATATGAATACATGGGATTTTATGGAACCGATCAAAAATAGGGCCACCATTGTCATCGCTGTAGGTTTTTCAAGTCATCAAAGTTTATCAAATTGAAAACATTGGGGGTTCCCAAGTGATTGACCAGTCAGTAACTTTGACAAATGAGCAATGCATTTTATGGTATAATTTATTAGTGGTTCAATATAAAAACGATTTGAATATAGAAATATACTTCCAGAGTATTTTGCTTTATTTTAAATACATTTTGCATCAAAATAAAATTTAATCAACTTCCTCATTGACCGGTCAAACGCTTGAAATCCTCTATGGTCTCTCCATTAACGAAATTCCAAGACCAATAGATGGCGCTATATAATGTAATAACATACAGTGGCCAAATAAACCTTTACATACAGTGGCGACAATAGAGGCCCCGCCGCCATTTTGTTCCCAACCTTTTGTTACTATTAAATATCAATATATAGGATTTAAATGGACATTTATCATAAAAAATTGAAATCGGCGTATTTGATGACTATTATTAGGTCGATCAAAAACGTTTTTATCCATGTTTTATGATGGATGTTCACCCAAATCCCATATATTCATATTTGAAATAAACAATAGGTGGGAACAAGATGGCGGCGTTTTCAATATAAATATATGGGATTTTAGAACCAATCAAAAATAAGACAGCAATTGTCGCCACTGTGGGTAATAGAGTCACTGTACAATAACAAAACCATTTTGTTGAGGTTAGTTAATGTTAAATTGTCTTTTGTGGCGTTTTTGTGATCTATACAGGGGGTTCATTTTAAAACTTACCACCCCTATTATCTCGGAGTTGAAAAAGTCTCTGAAACGTCAACTATAATTTGAAGGGGGATGAGTTTTTATGCAAAATTCACCTTCCCCCCCCCCAACCCCTCAGCCTACAGAGCCACCCCCTAGAAAATCTTAAATGAGAAGGGGGATCAACAGATACATCATTTTGGATGGTTTTTAATTCCATACAAGTCCAAGTGAATTCAAAAAATTTAGTACCAAAATGTATGGAATTGAAAACTTTCCAAAATGATGTATCACTTGACTCCCTTCCCTTTTGAGATTTTCTAGGGTTTTCTGGGTGCTGGGGGGTTGAAAGGGGCGAGGTGAACCTTACCATAAAAACTCATCTCGCTTCAAATTATAGTTGACGTGTTTCAGGGATTTTTTCGATTTTTTTTTAACTTGGATATAATAGGGGTGGTAAGTTTTAAAATGAACACTCTGTATAACGGAAACTATACGTAAAAAAGATAATTTTAAAATTTTTGACTTTCAAAAATTATGCCTGAGTACCTACCAAAGTTGATCAGAGAAGTCGCCTCCGATGGTATGACGAGTATGACGTACAGTGACTTGATAAACCTACTGTGATGACAATGGTGGTCCTATTTTTGATTGATTTTTTTTTGGCAATTTTTGCATCAAAATGGCGGCGGGGGGCGTGGCCTACTTCTATTTCCCTATATACATATACAATACAACAATACATACTTATGAACAGCAATAGCAACAAAACGGCGGGCGCCATTGCCGATTGTCGCCACTGTATGTATAGGTTTATTGAGTCACTGTAGTATGACGGATTGGTTGGAAAATTTCCCGCCAATTTTATCCGACTATTTTAAACTTTTTTTTTCTGCGATTGACAAGAAAATGTCAACATTTTTGACCGGTTGGCAGGTCGCAAAACTCAATATTCTGGTAGTTCAATTATGTTTCAATAGTTGCTAAGGAATCAATGAATAACAATACGGGACACTTTTCCGGCCTAGGCCGGGAAAGTGATTCTCGTATTGCTGAATAATTGGAGCAAAAAAACAAACATTTAACAGATATTCAACCGATCGCAGAAAAAATAGTATGTGTATTTCGTTGGAAAAGCACATTCACGGCCGACGGTGTAAGTTGACGGGCGAGGCGTAGCCGAGGCCGGCAAACACCGAACCGTCACTTATCCACCTAAATACACAATATACTATTTCGATGTGGGACAAAGTTAAAATAATTTTAACTTTTCCCTTTTTTGGATCGTTTTTAGCTCTACTTTTTGACTGACTGGTGAAAAGTAAAAAGTAAATATGACAATACGCACTACGCATTTCTGCGCCAAAGTTTTTAATTTGAATTTCAATATTTTTTTCATTCTCCCCCCTACGAAAATCCATTCTTTTTTGTGCTACCCATTCTGTAAGTTGACTTTTTTGACCTACGTCCATGAACTGTAAGTGTCACTTACAGTCCGGGTCAAAAAAGTTACTTTTTTGACCGGGCCAAAAAAGCTACTTTTTTGACCGGGTCAAAAAAGTGTTGATATGAAAGGTGAAAATTGTTTGGTTCATATGTCTGTCAAAATAATGTCACAAAAAAACTCGACTTCCCAAATAGAAAACCCAAAACAAATTAAGGATACAATTTTATTGAAACAAATGGAAAATACCTAGACGTCAAAAAGTTTAAATTAGCAGAAACAGATAGGTAATAATATAAATAGTTATATTTGCGAAGACGATCCCAAACTAACCCTGATCGCTAAGGTAAGAATCACACCATAAAAAGCCATTAATATTGTTTCATATTAATGGCTTTTCATGATGTGATTCTTTCCTTAGCGTTCAGGATCAGTTTGGGAACTTCTTCGCGAACAAAGCAAATTCATGATATTTGTTATCTTGAATGTACGGTAGCACAAAAAATATCATATGCACCTCGACTTGTAGCGTGTACTTTTTTGACCTCAAATGCTTGCAAACCTCGGCCCTACGGGCCTCGGCTTGCAAACTGCATCCTCGGCCAAAAAAGTAACACTTACAAGCCTTGGTACATAAATAACTAAATATTATCTTGAATAGGCAAGCAAAAGCGAAAGTAAAACATGCTAGGTCATCGGTTGCTAAGTATGAAAAACTTTCGTGCCCTGGACGACGAAAAAATAAAAACGTCAAATAATTAGTAATATCAAATATTTATTAAGATTGGAAATTAAATGTAAAATTGCAATAGTCCTTTTCACGTGGCTCCGTTTAAACTAACCGGGTTAGAAAACGGTTAGTAGCGGTATGTCAAGTATGACATACCGTTTTCTAACCCGGTTATGCCCGATTGCACCTTCTCTCTTAACCGAGGCTTAGAGATAACTATTCCTTAAAGTGACATTTTCCCATGCAAAACTGTCAGTTTAAGGGATAGTTATTGTTAAGCCTCAGTTAAGAGAGATGGTGCAATCGGGCATTACAAAGTGACTTGATCGATACCACTCGAATTTGAGCGGTATGTTGCGGTTTGTTAAACCGGAGCCACGTGAAAAGGGTTTTTGATTACAATTGTTCTATGTTCCTAAAAGATTTAACGGCAAATATTGATTGAAATCCTCTGTTCCACACCAACGTCATCTTGCGTTATTGTGACACATCTTTCGTTGTACACCATTTGATAAAATTTTCATAGGCTTGATTGTATGTAACTGTCTTCGGATTTTTCCGGTAACAAACTTTTGCACGCGATAATTGCTGCCTCTTCAATGGAATTTTCAACTTAATTTTAGACAAATATTGAACCTAAAGAGACGTACTCATCAACTTTATATTGAAAAAAAAAACTTATTTAAAAACTGTCAATCAGAGATACTGTCAATATATTTTTTGTTGACACGAATGTTACCAAAGTAACGTTAACGGTAACAACTGTCGTCATTCTACTATTTTCTCAGTGGCGGCTGAAAAAAACTGAATATTAGTTGTCATATTTTTTGGTTTTATTTTTTGGTGAAGTGACACTTCACCTAATGCACCTGAATAGCCGCCACTGCAATATTTTTATGGCAATAAACCGCGTTGGACCCAGAAAATTTTCAGCATCTGTAAATTGTGTGTTTTATAACTTCAATGGTTTTAAATAAAATCGGGGGAAGAATGAAAAGTTTAATACATTACACGCTGCAAAAGCCCTTTTAGGTGCTCGGAGATATTCAAATAGCCTCGCACCTAAAAGTATACTTTCGCAGCTTGGAATGTAAATAACAATTTGATCACCAGTTGCGAAACATTTTACTTTTCATTCTCCCCCCCTACGAAAATCCACTTTTTTATCTTGAATAGGCAAGCGAAAGCGAAAGTAAAACATGCTAGGTTATCGGTTGCTAGGTATGAAAAACTTTCGTGCCCTGAGTAAAGGGGCTAGGACAGTTCTAGGCTAAAATCAGTCATTTTCCCATGTAAATCTCCATAAGAAAATCTAAGGTTCATTCTGGCAATTTTTGTACCGTTCAAGGTCATCCCTCCATTCCTCGTTGCCGCTAAGCCCCGCCCCCTTTCCAGTTCCCCGTGTATTTCATTGGTCGCGTCAGCCGCCGCTGCGTTCGGGGTCTTTGGCCGTCCTGGCTCCAAGCGGCTCATTGAACACACATAGCACCTCGTGACTTGGTACCCTCATTCAAGGTGCACTGTACTGATGATGACGTAACTAATAATAAAAACGTCGTTCCGCCATCGGGTCTGATGATGACGTAACTAATAATAAAAAATGTCGTT